TTTGCCCTATAGGTAGCTTTTCCATACTTATAGGAATATATTCAGCCTTGTCAAATTGATTGGAATGTCCCAATTTGTTTTACAGTTTTTTATACTCCACTCTTTGGCTGCTCTAACGCCTGATAACTTCTATGGTAAAGACCAGATAGGTGTGATTCCTTTATCCTGCAAGGGTGACAAAAACTTTCTCATTTTTAAAGTGAGTGACATTATCCATTCCTATTTCCTCAGTTTTTAGGAAAAATACTTATATGTTCCGCCATTTTAGCAGACACTGTGTTCCAGTTGCTCTGGTCAGAGGATAAACATGTTTATGACTCCCTCCATTTATCAAAGGTCACAAGGAAATACTTATTCCCACTGGGAGTGCGGGTCAGAAAAGGACCTGCTTATGTCAGCACTAAAAATGGTTAGTGGTCCTTCCTCTATTATTTTAAGATGCTCAGGATGAACTTTCTTAAACCCATCCACCTCTACACATTGAAGACATGTTGACCATGTGTGTTGTAGGTGCAATCGCAGTTTTGGTAAGAGGATTTTATTGTGGAGACAATATTTCCTCATCTGAAATAGGCCCACATGGCCTAAACTGCTGTGTAATTCACGCACAACCTGAGGAGCTTCTTCAGGTGGTACGTGAATGCTTCCACCCTTTTTCCATATTCTAGGGAATATGGCAGTCAGGTGGTTAACTCGTCCCGTGCTTTAAGCAAGGTAAAACTTCTCTATTACCCTGATAGTTAAATTATATCTTATCTGTATGGCTACGGACATGATTCCATTCTACATGCCTGCCTTTAACTCTGCAATAAGACCCTCAATAGATGGGCATGTGTCAGCGTTTCACCTTTCACATTTTTGAACTGCCTTTGTTCCCAATTATTAAGCTCTTCTTTACCCGCTTTTTAATAATAATCACTATCAGTAATAATACGGATGTGTGCTATTTTTCCTTTTTTTTTTTTTTTTTTAGCAAAAGGAAGTCCCTCAACAAATGGCCTTTTCCTCAGCAGGCTGTACCTGGTATTGCACCCTTTTGCTTGCAAAGTACTTCACCTGAATTAGTTTTCATTATAAAGGCCCAAGTGGCTGCTTGGTCACCTTTTCGCAAACTCCCATCTGTAAACAGTGTTATCTGTGGAGTAGCGGTTTTCTGTAAAGGTGTCATTATTTTCCTTTGTGGCTTACTTCCTGAGGTCCTCTGCACCCCACATCTGGATCAGACATTATCATCTTCCATTTTCTTCATCTACTCATCATTGTTTTTGCTCCCTGAACAGTTTGTTTAGTAGCTTCAGATATTGAAAAATAAAGAGTGTATATGCACATTTTGGTACCTTGAGACATTTCCCTCAGGGCTGGATAAAATCTGAATGCAAGTGCAAGATGCTTCTCTTCAGGTGATAATTTTCCCTCTGTTCCTGATCAAGTCATAGACATGAATAACACAGATTTTCTATCACCCTGGTTCCTTATCTCCACATTGTTAGTTTCTGAGAATGGGTCTCAACATATTATTTTGGTTTTTGATATTTGATATTATTGTTCTGGTGTTAAGATAATTTTTTGAATCTCCCTCTTTTCTTAACAACTGGAGCTATGTCTATTTTAGATCCGACTTGGTTAAGAGTTGATTTATTCATTGGTGAGAGGAACACTATTTCCCTTGTGCTGGGGTGGGGGTGGGTAGCCTGGTAGAGTTCCTTAAAATCTCCAGATCTTCCTCTGTGCTGAGGCCATAAAACTTATAATAGTCTTTCGTGGTCTGCTCAAATTTTCTTCCCCTCCAGAGATCACGCCTGTCTTTGACCCTGTGTGCTGCGTGTTTTCTGCAGCACCTCGGGAGCAGAGAAAAGAGGAAACCTTTTTTCCAAAAGTGCATTCTCCTTCATGAGAAAAATAGCACCACATTTAACTCTCATTGACTTGTCTTTAAAGCGTTCTTTAAGGCTTGAATTGAGTTTTCCGTTGTGTAACGGAAAATCCCATTCCCAAAAAGGGGTCAAAAGCAAATAGTTTAGTTGATTTTGGTAAAGTATTTGAGCTTTAGCTTCGCCAAAACTTTCTCATATTAGTTTTGAAGATATTTTTGGGACTTGATATCTGCTGATAGTTCCCACATAGGTTTTTTTTTCTTAAAAGTACATTCAAAACAACCGGTATTTGTGGGTCATCTGATCACCACATTGCCTTCTGACAGTTTAATAGTCCTTATCATATTATCACACTGTGCTTGCATGCTAGGACCTATTCTCTTTTCCAGAGCTGCTGCTATTTCTCCTGCATGTTTTAGCTTCCTATTAGCAGGGTTCACTAACATGGTTTGTTGATCCAGTTTAAGATTTTCAATATTTGACATTATTATTTTCAACATTCCTTTTCTCTGAATATCATGTCTAACAATGTGTTTTCTTTTTTTTCTAGGAGTAGTAGATGGGATACTCCTAAATGGCAATTTTTTAGCTTTTATCCCTGTATGGTGGAGATAGGGTCTCAAACATTATACCACCTGCTTGTTGCTCTCTGTCAAACGGTAGTCTGACAGGAAAGTATTTTGGTCGCGGTACGCCCGTGGGTCTGGGCTAAGCTGACCAGGGCGGGCAGAAGCTCCGGATTTTGCTTCTGTGTATCCCCCCTGTGTGGTTGGCTCCGAGTCATTAAAAACTGCGTTCTAACCTCGTCCGCCATTTATCTTTGTTTGTTTGTTTTAAAAAACAACACAAAAATGTATTAAAGGCTTCAAGTTCACTCTTTTATACACATGCAAGTTCCTAGGCTTTACTCTCGACGGGTGATCAGTCCGACTATACCGTCACTTGGTTCTAAGTTCTCTTTCTGGATTCAGTTAGTACATGTGGGTACCTCAGCTAAGAGTGTTATGTACTGAGCTTCGAATTTTTTAAACAGCATAGGTACCTTTAGACCTATGTTTATCTTTATTAAATCTCCTATTAACTCTTCCCCACGTTATGTTTTAACGCAAAAGTTCAAACCGCAGCTCTTGGTCAAGTCCTACCTATAAGTTTCAAAGTAATTGGACAAGTACTGAGCAGTGCTCCTACGGCTGACTTCACTTTAGCCACCTAAACCTGTGTTAAAGGGACCACAGGCTTCTCAATTTGACTAGGGGAAAATGAACCTTCTTTAGCTTCTTTAATCAGACAGCTATATCCGATATAATATAACCCTCAGTCCGGTGCAATAGTATTAACTTAAATTACTACACTTTCAGGTTTAATTATATATATTCTAGGATTTGGGGTAGGTATTTTAACAAGACTTTCAGCCTGTATTTCGCTGATTTGTATTCCTCGACTTTTTTCACTAGGTCGTTTTGGTTCTTGTATTTTGACTCTGTAAAAGTATTATTTTTCACAGAGCCCCACGTTGGGCGCCATGTTTAGAGTTTTGAGAGGTCCTGATAATTTATTCCGGTAAATTACTCTGACCTCCTAATTGACCTTTCCGAAGATTATTGAGTCTATGTAAGTTTGCTGCTTGGCTCAGATCCACCAACGTCAGCAAGATCTCACCTCTTCCTAACCCCCCCGAAGAACCAGGTTCAATTAACTGCTGTTTCAATTCAGACAACTCTTTTTTAATCTGTTTAAGCGATCCCGAAGGATTTTGATATCAGTAAATGGAGTGTGCTCCTACCTAAGTGTGTGTGGCAGGGTGCAATCTTACCTTTGACGCAGGAGAGGAGGGCACAGGTGTCTTTTAAAGGATCCCAATCCAACAGGTGGGAGTCAGTTTATTTGAAGAAAAATAGGTCCAAACTAATACAGGGTTTTTTCCTTCTCTCTCACAACATTATAATCATACTAACAAAAACACCGTGCTGTGATCATGTTCAAATGAAACTTTAATTCACAGTCTTACATTTATTACCAAAATGTTTTAATTTCAACTGCCCATTTCAGTTGTGACTTTTTAAAATTCTCCCGATAGAATTTAGAGGTATTTCCTCGTAAAAAGACCGGTGGCAATAAAAGCGCATTCAACTTTCCATTCATCAATTAATTCACATCAGTTTCATACCGTTTTTTCCCGACACAGACGGCGGATTAACACTTAAAAAAAACACATTCCCATCCGCCAAGAGTTCGAAGGAAGGTCCTTACAGGTCGCGGTTTATAATATTCCCAAACACATCTTCCGACACAGACGGCGGATTAACCTGTCAAAAACACATACCCATCCGCCAAGAGTTCGAAGGAAGGTCCTTACAGGTTGCGGTTATAATATTCCCAAACACATCTTTCATCAAATCATTCCACTCAGCCAACAACCAAGAAAATCGAGAGATATTTACCCCGTCTGACAGAACCAAATACCGAGAGCTAATTACCCAGCTCTGAAGCACACAGCCTACCCGGAGAGAGTCTACCAGGGGTCACCCCCCCTCTCTCGCGCTCTCTCAAAAAACCAGTCTCTTTATGCTAAAAAACTGGATCGAAAACCCAAAAAAACAAAACTCCTCCTCTCATGTTAGGGTGAAAAGGACATGAACTCTCTTTGGCCTCTTAATGTGTCTCCTTAGTGTGAAGTCCCCCCCCCCCCTCTCTCTGGACTGCTGCCAGAGGAGAGGAAGAAAACTCAACCTAAACAACCCACTTTGTTTTGTTTATACTGTAACTATAGAAAATCTAAAATATGAAGCATTTTCATTGTGGGTTATACAAGAATATAATTGATTATAACTAACTTTCGTTTTTAAGTATTAAACATACTATGAAAACTCACAACACATTGTTGATTTTGGAATTTTCAGGGGATCCAATTAGGTCATTTTATATGAAGGAAATGATAGGCCCCTATATCAGAACATAGCATGTTTTCTTGTAGTTCATATATTTTTGAATTGAATATTTGAATTGAATATTTTACAAATGACAATTACTAGGTTTCATGTACAAGTATAGAAACAACATGTATTGATTTTGTAGATTCAACTAACCAAAATGTTCAGGGTTAAAGGACAAAGAAATGGCAACAAATCACAATTTCTCCCAACTTTATTTCTCACATTTAACTTATTACACAGACAACCAAATGAGTGTGACATACATACATAGAAAAACATTAGTAAAATAAAATAACAGAAATAAAAAATTTGAGAGCATGATTACTCAACAAAATGTTTGACAAAAACCTAGTTACAAAAGTGACCAGGAAACTAATGGTGTTGTCTTTATTCAGATCAAGGGTCATTGTTTTTTGCCAGAACTTAATGTCAACTGACTTGCACTTGCTAAGAAATGCAAACAAACACGAGGTTGCTCTCAGATTCTGTAAAGGAAAAAACATCTGAGAAAACTATTTTAAATCCTCACAATCAAAATCAGAATACTTATTTATCCGAGGGGGATATTGGTTTCTTTGTGACAGTTGCTCCATTTTGAAAGATATGTCTTGAAAACAACAATTATTTAAAATCATTGATTGCATATAGCTCTAAGCAACACAATTCCTCTGGTTCAAACTGCTTTTCAGCAAATAAAAGTTACAGCTTGTTGCAGTTTTGTACGTTATATTAGTGCTCGCTGCAGTGCTGAAAGCTACATGCTCATTTATTCTGTTTCTCAGTGGAGGACAATATCCCTTCACTTTTCTCTCAGAAGCAGATCATCTGCAGCAGGGAGTCATTCAGAATGGACAATTGTGAGTTCCTGAACGCTCCCTATATCCCGCTTAGCTGACAAAGTGCGTATCACTCAGCGTAGTTTATAGTGAAGCCATATACAGTATTGTTACAATGAGAAAAGTCAGAGTAAAAGAGCTGAAACACAGGCAACATCTTGACCAAATGTAGATGGGCAACACCTGTAACAGGAATGGAGAGTGACAACTGCAGAAACAAATGTTACATTTATTTTAATTGATAGCATCTATATTAACTTAATATAGATGTTAATTCAACAGTATTCTGCCCATTTGATGAGTGTTGTAGGTTTGTGCTGTTTGGAAACTAGACTTTATTATGTGCTGAACTTGTCAAGTCCCATACAAGTCACACACTTGATGATTTATAGAGATAATTTTTGATTGAAATGTTGGTCAATCAAATTGTAGTGACAAGGGCATGATCACAACTTTAGACATGATTGTATTTATTTAGAAAAATATTAGTCCAAAGTACATTTTGTCAGTATGACAAAGTAATTGATATGTACATCATTATCACTCTTCAGATTTAGTTTGCCTTTCATGCCCTGCAAGATTGGACTAAGTTCCAAGGCATACTTAACCTGGTCTCCTTACCCACTCTTGACATAAGATAAGATAAGATGTAACTTTATTTATCCACGTGGGGAAATTCAGGCGTTTATAGCAGAGTGATTTATTCTTTAAAAATGTTTGAAAGAACAATAAGGTTGCTTATAACATATAAGCATGTTTGGTGTCTGTTTGCTCTTTTTTTTGCCGTCTTGCCCAGAAGAGATTTTTATTTTTGTATGGCCTTGAGACCTTTCTGGTTAAATAAAATAAAGGCATGTCTGCAGTGACCGTTATAGGGATGGGACGATATAGAATTTGTATGGGGATCGCGATAAAAACACGATTGGGGCAATTTTGATTATGGGGATGATTGTAAATATCCTCACGAGTGACCATGACCATGTTTTAAAAAATGCAGGAATTATCATGTTAAGAAACTGAATCACTCAATGTTGCTTATATAGAACAATTTATCCTTTATTAATGTAAATTAGTTCAGATCAATTTATTGTGTTTCACTAAAAAGGATGTGTGTCCTGTCTGTGATGCAAAATGCAAAATGTAAGGTGTGCGATTTCCATGTGTTTTAAGCATGTTTTGATGCAATACATGTGGGATAATATTGTGAATCGCAATTATTTTAGACAGGATGATCCTGAAATGAAATCTATATGGTCCCATGCCTAGATAGTGACTCAAACATGACTGTATTGATTCAGACATGATTGTGCTGACTCAAATGTGAGTTAAACATGGTTGTAGAGACTCAAACTTCAACATTTAACATTAAAACGTCAAAAACTCGGGGCTCGACTCTGGATTATTGTTTGATTAATCGACTTCAACACTGTTACTAGTTTTTTCATGCTGTCTGCCTCTTAATGTTGCCCATGTGTCATCGCCTCGAGGAAAAGCCCGTAGCGTACAGCAGCCATTGCACCACTATTGAAAAAAGCATATCAGGCTAACAGGTAGTAAGTATAGCAATCACATGACTGATTGTAGAGAAAACATCCTCAGTGGCTACAACCATTCCTATTAGCAAAATAGAGATATCTCAGTCACTGTATGTAAGACATTTAACATGATGCAGCATTTCAATGATGATAGTCGCCATTTCCAAGAGGAATCGATAAAGTGCCAAAACCTTACTTGACGCTACAGGTTGTACTTCCTGTTTGGAAAAGTTAACAGGAGTCGCTGTTTTCTCCGGATTCAGACACCAGGGGTAAACTACTGAACATCTCTGAAGTTTTAATAACTACTAGCAGGGCCGGTTCTAGACAATTTCATGTCCATGGCGAGATTTTAGCTGGTTTATTGTCCTAGAGTATACTTTGAAAATGATGAGAGAACAGAGATGTTAGACTTTGCAGACCATTTACATGCACGCTAGCCAATAGGAGAGAATATTACTTAGTGACGTCACTATTTTGCTGAAGTTAACAAGGAGTCCAGACAGGAAAGGGAAAACCTAAAAAACATAACAGGGCCCATTTGAGCTCATTGTATGTTTTGAATGTCAAATGTTAGTAATAATTACGAGTGATACGTTAATAACAGTAATGTTAAAATATCATACATATATGATTTGATTTATATAGGCCTCAAGAGCCTTTCTTGTGCTGGCAGACACATATAAACATATTGGCGGGGCGCACTTTGCAAGCGCACACACTAAAAAATTCCACGCGCTCACATTTAGCTGGGCTCGCATGCCTTAGCACCGCTGCTATGACTGCATCCTAGGGGAAACACTGTTGGTACCATTTTTGAGTAAAAATTACTTGAGTAAAAGTAAAGAGGTGTTGGTAGAAAAATATACTTGAAGTATCAAAAGTAAAAGTACCTGCAAAAAACTATTCTGTGAAAGTGTTATTTGATTATTATTATTATTATGAAAGAGGCTTTAATGTGTTAATAGCTAGCCTTTTATCATTGGACTGTAGATTGTGTCAATAATTAATCATTTGAAATACTTTAAATACTTTAGAGTAGTTTCATCAGTAATATTGCACTGTTGTTTGTAAGCTCATCAAACATTTTGTATGTAAAATAATAACAGTACATGTACAGTATTAAGTAGTATAACCTTAAGATAAATATATTGGAGTGAAATAAAATCTGAAAGTTAGTACGTAGGTCAAATATTTGAAACGCGCTTAGGTACATTCCATCACTGGTTATCAAAGTCAACAACGTGTTCTTCAGAATTAAACCTACATCAGATGGGAAATGTTGTAATTATTTTAGTTTCCCTAAATATGTTTTAGCCAATGATGACGCTGCAGCTGTGGACGCTTCAGACTTTGAAGCCTCATTTACATTCAAATGTTACGGTGGATAAGGTGCTCTCTGCTATGATTGTGTCGCTGGTATCAGGATTATTTTTCGTGCAGTGCAAAAAGCTGAAAGCATAAGGCACAATCAACAGATGGTGACATTATCTAACATCAGGTAAACGGTATGCAGCTTTAGGAAATGCTTACCTTTCCCAGAACTTTTAAAGAGATCAGCAAGTTAAATGTCTTTTATGCATTTCAATTTGAAGCATGAAATAAACCCTGGTGCCTAATACCCATGAATATGTCAGTGACTCCTCCTGCTCACCTCCTACGAGCCTCTTTAACTCTCACTGGACAACACATCTTCTACTCACTCGTTATATCGTTTATCTCCTATCCTCACTACTTGTTCTTTTCTGTCTCTTCCTCCTCTCCTCTCCACCATTCTTCCTCCTCATTACTCCTCTGCTTTCTTTGCCAACTTCTTCTTCTTCTTCTTTCCTGTAGGCTCCATTTATCACCTGTCTATCAAAGACCTTTATAACCTGTCCCCTCCTCCTCTTCGTCCATCAGAGATGTGTGTCCTGCTCCTCCTCTCCTTCCTCCTCAGTCACTGCCTGATTGACAAAGACCTACAAAATGCAGATTAAAATTAGTTTCCATAAAATTGTGATTGTTTTTGTCACAGCAGCATGTAAACAGGCATGACAAGGTACACAAACATTATATATACAGTAGGTACGGTAGAACAGATATAGATACTCTATAATAGACTAATCATGTGTAAATAGTGTAAATCCTGGTTATGGCTAGCTAAGGAGTTGAGTAAAATTCAAAAATGTAACATCTGGAAACATCCAAATCAGGAGTCTTGAAATATATATTTGTTTTCATAGCAGGAAACTGCATACTATTTAATTGAATCCAAGAAAAAAACATGAAATATTCAGAGTTGTTCCCATGGAAAGAGTCAGTTTCAAAATAAAGGAAATAGGTAAGAGCAGCTTTAGAAATGTATGGCAGCCACTGATAAATGCCAGCAAGTACATTTCCCCTCTGCGGGCCGAATAAAGGTATTCTGATTCTGAAATCTCCAGAGGCTTTTATACAAATCACTCAGTTAACGATTTGCATGTAAACAACAGTGTTGTTACTAACAGTAGTAGTAACCTGTTTACTATGTTATTAAGCTCAGGCAGTAACAAAGTCATGATGTTAAAGTTAATTTAAAAAATAAAAACATGTTAACTATCAACAACATGCTTTTTCCAACCCCCCCAAACAAAAGACAGCCCTAAACATTTCAACCTTGAAGTCGTCCAATCACCTGCCAGCGACTGCTCTCCTCCCCGCCTTCTCCAGTTCCTCCTCCTCCTCCTCCTCCTGCGAGCCCATTGGTGCTCGGCTTCTTCTCCTGCATCTCAGACTGGTTGTCATTAGTTACGTCCAGCATTGGGTTGTCGTGGCAACCGTTTTCCACAAAGTGAAGTTCCTCATTGCGAAACTGTGAGGTCAAAGAAATATCTTTATATTGCATTTTGTCATCATTATATATTTACAGATCTAATATATATATTTAGCCTTACCAGAATTAGTTAGCTTGTAGCTTGCTTGTGAATGTTAGTTCAATATTTTTACAAAGTTTGACTAGCGTTAATGCTTTTTGTTGCCAGATCTCATGAGAATATGTTGCTGTGCAAGGCAAATCAGACAAAATGCAATTATTGTGTCAACATGTTAGGATGATATGTTCCTTGTAGAAAATGTGTTAAATACTTATTTTGGTGACAGTGGGGGAAATAGTCAATTATGACCTATTTTTGTTTCATTTCTTGTATTTGGGAGCCATGAGCAAATTAATGAGGGGGACATTCTGTTTCAGAATAATAATTACAATACTGGATTATAATTATTAATTCATTTATGTGTTTATCACTTTAATGTTGCAGCTGGTAAAGGCAGAAGCAGTTTTTAGGTACAATATATACTCCTGCCTAGGTTAACTTGTTGTAACATTTTGTAATGTATTAGTTAAATTATATGTTGCATTGATAATCTAAATCTGCAAAGTACCTGAGTTATGAAACAAATAAATAAATTGAGATCTAGTGTGGATGTAGTTCAATGGAGATACTCAATACCAAAAAACAATTGCCTCAAAGTACTTTAGTAAATGTACTATTCACATTTCCCGCCTGAATGTTAACTCACCGTGGTCTTGGTTGCAGGCAGTCTTCTCTGCCAGCAGATATAAATGAATCCAGATGTGATGATGACCATGCAGATGGAGCCGATGATCACCAGAACCACGAACAGCTTCCCGTAGTCGCTGCGTGTCTGACTGGGGCGAGACGGGCAGCTGCTGGCCGAGCTGTAGTTCTGGATGCCCAGCTGATCACACGATCACACGATCACACACACACACACACACACACACACACACACACACACACACACACACACACACACACACACACACACACACACACACACACACACACACACACAGTAGTTTACACTGGATGTTTACATAAATAACACACTTTTTTCATAAATTGTTATCTGTGCAAAATGCTGAAGACTTCTGCACATTTCTCAATATGTTTTCGATTTGAATGACCTTTTTTTAAACAGTATTCAGCTCTTATCAATGTTAACACTTACATTGGATACATTTTATTTTTGGAAGGGTGTACAATCAAGCTACAATCCATACATTTTTGAAGTTGGAAAATATTTGTTTTACTAATGCAAACAGCGTTGGCAGAGGTTCACATTCTTTGAGTTCCATCCTTGAGGAAAATATTTCTATTTTCTATTTATGATTCATGTTTTTTTCTTTCTCTTACAATGTTTTTTTATGCACAAACACAAAAAGTCCATACCTACTTATTGTGATTAAGCTTGAAATTCAACATGCTTAAACAGGTTGAAATCACAATGTGTTCTATATGAGCAGAAATCTTGTAATTGCTTACTTTCATTTATTGTGACAATTGTTTGGGCTTTGCAATACACAGATAGTAGTACATATCAAAAGACTTTACTGGCCTGTGTACCTTATTCAAATGTTTCCTGATTTCTCCCAGCATGCCCAGCACATCCTTGGTGGCTATCACTCCTGGAGGACGCAATACGTGGAACAATGTTAACATATTTAAAAATATATACTGTATATTGTAAGCATGTGAATGTGTTAAGAAGCACCCACAGCACCGTTAAAATCAGAGCACCTTTTACTTCATTATGTACTTTAAAATAAAAAACTGAAAATGTGAATGTGAATAGCAGTCGAAGTACCTCTTGCTTTCTGCACAAAAATGTGCATGAATATATGTATGTGTGTGTGTGTATGTATGTATGTATGTATGTATGTGTGTGTATGTATGTATGTATGTATGTGTGTGTGTGTATGTATGTATGTATGTATGTGTGTGTATGTATGTATGTATGTATGTGTGTGTGTGTATGTATGTATGTATGTATGTGTGTGTATGTATGTATGTATGTATGTGTGTGTGTGTGTGTGTGTGTGTGTGTGTATGTATGTATGTATGTATGTGTGTGTATGTATGTATGTATGTATGTATGTGTGTGTGTATGTGTGTGTGTGTGTGTGTGTGTGTGTGTGTGTGTGTGTGTGCTTACCGCGGTCAGACGCCACGTTCATCAGCAGCTGGTGTTGCTGGTGTGTAGGTTTGCTGAGAGAGATTAACCATGATCCCTCTGGGCTGTTCATTCTCCGAGCGAACACGCGCTCCATGACCTTCAACAACCGTACACCCTGGTCCACGCGAAACTCCTCCTGTAACACACACACACACACACACACACACATATTTATCTTTATACCACAAGCTACAGCTTGATTTGCAGTAGACATAAAAACGTCAAATTACAATTATACCATTTTCAGTTTTCTGCCTTTAATTCAATCAAATAATCATTCATATATTATGTTGTTGTAAATAAATATGTAAACATAACAAAGTTATAACATCTATTTCTCTAGCTTTCTCTTTCTACGCACAAATATCACTATAGTATGAACACAAAAGACAAAGTACCAATATAAAGTCAACTTCTTTAAAAAAAAAATAGGTGCAGGAAAACAGGAGCACATCAGTGCTGCTATAGCAACTATAAGGTCAGTACGGTGGTGGTGGTGAGGGTTTGTGTTATTGCCATGACGACAGACATTATGGTGAAGGTACCTTCCTCTCTCTCACTTGAAAACTCCAGTTCACTGTCTGTCTGACAGCGTGGGAGAAAAATTGAGTTAAACTTTTCACGACGTTTCAACTCTATTTTTGAAATGCTAAATGTTATAAATTATTTCTCATCTCATTACCCATCATTGTAACATTTCTCTCTTCGATGAGTAGAAGTACAAGGAAAATAGAAATATGTAAGTGAAGTAAGAGTACCTCAAATTTGTACTTGAGTATAAATGCTTTTTACTGTACATTCCACCATGTTGAATATTAAATAAAATCCCATCAATATCACAAATGAATCTTGTATTGTTGAAAGCTTTTATCTAAATATTTCCCCTGTGTACTTACACAGTTTAGGTTGTGCGTCATGTTGAGGACGACGTACCCACGTCCGACCAGCTCGCTCCACTCCAAACACACCACCTTTAAACAACAGTAATATCAATATTAATTAATACATTAATAAAGGTTAGAACAGAGACAGATTTAGATTTGAACAAACCTGCCGTGCTTCCTCCATCTCATCCACATCGTGGACCTCTGTGACCCCGCCCACCCCTGACCTCTGGGTCTGCAGGACAGTGGTCTTCTCCAGTAAATCCCAGTCTGTGGTGAGCGGGACCATGTGTCTGTTTCTTGTTCCCTCCTCTTCCTCCTTCATTTTTATCCATTCCTCCTCCTTCATCTCGTCGCTTCTGTCTGGCAGTATGCCCCCTTAATCGGGATAACCAGAATAATCCATTTATAATGCATTTATTCAACCCACCCTTTAATTAAAACATGTCCAATCTATTCCATCACTTTAAAGTGATAACAGGTAAACAGGCCCTATTCTGCTTTTTGGGGTTTCCCTATCCTGAAGTGTGTTATAGAGGTTTGTGTGCATGTAAATGGTCTGCAAAGGCTCAAATCCCTGTGTTCCCTCCAGAGGGAGTTTCTCTCCCACACACTCCCCCCCCCTGCCTGAAACGTCTCCAATGGACTCCTTTGTTTACTTCTGTGACATAGTGTCACACTCTTCTATTGGCTAGCGCTCCAACACATTGTACGTGATTGGCTAAAGGGCGGGACATCTCTTAGAGGTTGACCAATCACAAGAGATCCGGCCAGCTAACCAATCAGAGCAGACTGGGCTCTGGTTTCAGACAGAGGGTGAAAAGAGGTGTTACAGCACAGGCAGTATGAGAAAAATAAAGAGCTTTTTGAAGAGACATGTCACAGGCACAAATACAGAAATATTATTTGCAAATGACCATAATAAGTCTTCTTTAAGATTAACCATTGAAATTCTCAGTACTTTCTTTGAAAGTGGGCACTTGATTTCAAAAGAAAGAGACACAAACAGGCTGTTGCTCACCTTGTGACTGGTGTTCCTTCTCTTCCTCCACGCTGGGCTGCAGAGGCTCTCTGCTGGGAGCCATGCCAACCTCTGCTGCTGTTAGATTCTGGGTAAAAAGGCCTTTGTGTGCAAGCTCCGTTTCTTCCTCTTCCTCCTTCTCTGTCTCTTCATCCTCTGTCTCCTCTGCAGAGACTAACCAGGGGAAAGACAACAAGCAGCAGAGACATCATCTTCATCTTCTGCAATCTCATGTAGGTGGAGTTAAAATGCAGAACAATGATAGGCATGCGACAAAGTATTATTTTCATTAGAAATGAGTTGGCAGATAAAAGAAAATGTAAGACCCTTTTTCACAACTTGATAACATTTATACATTATACAGACCAATACAAAACACGGGAAAGCTGTAAAGCAACATTTTTTGTTTTATCATAGACAAGAATCCAGTCTACAACAAGAGAAAATACTGTATGTGAAGACACAAAACAATGGTCTTTGTTTTCTGTTGGGAAGCAGTTGGTCAGTGTGTCTTATTTGAAAATAACAGGACTTAATATCGTTTTACGTTTGATTTCAGCTCACGTTAGAGTAGGGGAAAGCAGCAACTGAATTAATGATTCTTTTCATTATCATCTAATCTGCAAATTATGCTCTCGATTACCATTGGGGCTATAATTCCAAAGATATCTAGTTTAATATGATACAAATTTGAGAAAATCTAAAATGGTCAATGTTTCAGAGGCTTACAAACAGCATTTTTCTGACATTTCTTTTTAAATTAATTATCCAAACATTTGTTGTTTATTTCTCTGTCGATCTACTGAATAATTAGACGACTAATCCTCACAGCTTAACAGCAGACCAACGATCTAACGTCAGTAGTGTGAAACCGCATACACTGCAAAGACATTTTTCAAACAGAAATAGTGATTTCCTTTTTTTTAAGAACATGTTTATGCTTTTACTTTTGTTCAGAGTATGCATGCACTAGTATTACTACTGGTACTCACTGTAGGAAAGTTATTACCATTCATTGTGGTGCCAACATGAATCAAAATTCATGACACATCCACCAATTAGTAGATGAGATATTAGATTTAAATCCAAATATCTTCACCTCATCGTGACACCAGAGTAACATTTAAAGGACCCCCACTGTCATTAGAATTCATCCTAAGGGTTATATGAATGTATGTACAAGATTGCATGGCAATCCATACCATATATTTAGATATTTCAAACAATATCAAACTAAGTCGATCAATATAGGCTTTGTTTTGTATACCTCTTGTGTAGCTTCCCAGCAGCCCAAAGTCTGTGCCTGTGTCCGTCTCAGGGGTGGATGTTCCTGCAGCGTCTTCACCAGCAGCAGCAGTAGTAGCAGTAGTCGTAATGATGGAGGAGTGAAGGACTCCGTAGCCACTTGAATGACCGCCTTCCTCCCCCTCTGCCTCCCACAGCTCTCTCTCTAACAGATCCACCTGTAGGGGAGACGTCAGGTAAAGGGAGACACAAAAGGAGGTGACAGTCAAATATGTAATTTCCACTGGAAGGCTGTTTCTGGGGTTTAAACTTCCAGAAGCCACGTGAGGTGAGGTGACGGAGTCTGATACACATTTTCAAAAAGCATGCACAGAGATGTTGTTTGGTTCCACTTGAAAAAATATGACTTATTAAACGATGAACTCCAGATGTCTTTCCAGAAAAAACAAATATATCCAAAATCCCAAAAATATCATTATCCTGATCAGGCAATCCTCAGAAATATGTTGACAATAATGTACTAAAAGGTGCGCCAAAAGTACTTAGAACAAGGTGCCAAATAATGTGATCTATTGTATCATAGAATAATGCGTCTAATAATGTGGTCAGAAAACTGTGGACCTTCCACCATGTAACCAGAAAACAAAAAGTGTCTCGTCCATTCAAAGGTTACCTATTATGCAAAATCCACTTTTTGATGTATTTTATACATAAATAAGTGTTCCCAGTATGTTAAGATTCGGAAGTTTCAGGAAAAAGGGTTTCTCTCTCTGTTTGCTCTGATCTGGTCTGAAAATGAGCTGATCAAATTTTGGCCATGTGATGTCACCAGGCTTGGATTTTCGTCATTTTAGGGCCTTTGGTGTCACACATTTTTTCAGGGCGGAAAGGCCACATGCCAGGGCACAAAGGCCATTGAGGGAAACATTTGGATTTGGAGCTTACAAATAAATAACTTCACTTTCTAATGACAAAAAACAAATCACTTTTTTTTAATATCAATAATCGTATCATCATATAGGCCTATGATTCCTTAGTATTAACGTATCTAAAATGAAATACTTTACTTTGAATAATTTGTGGTTGGTATGTTTTCCATCTACTACTACTCCCATTCACAAATCCGAAATGAAATCTAAAAATCAAAAATTCTATTAATATGTAACAAATATATTCCATTTCAGAGCAGAAGAAACTGCCTTCAAGGGTCAAACTCTGCACATACATCATTCAGCAGTGCACAGTGAAGCTCCAACATCCAACTGTATGAACAAGCAATACTTTGAAATGCAAAAGTGTGTGTGTGTGTGTGTGTGTGTGTGTGTGTGTGTGTGTGTGTGTGTGTGTGTGTGTGTGTGTGTGTGTGTGTGTGTGTGCGTGCGTGTGTCTCTTTAATCAACTCATCACAGCTCCTCATATCTGTTCAGAAACTGGACAAAAGTTAAAGATGTACAAACCACAGACTGTCTGTGTCATGACGAATACAGTCGCTGCTTTAATTATGTCTTTAGGACGTTGTTGTGAGTTTGGACGGAGCAGCTACAACGTTAGTTTAGCCTGATCGATCCAATCTCCATTCACAAAACACGCATTTTAAAAGGTTTTTCGCATGCCGTCTTGTCTGCACACGTGTCAAAGCATTAAAGCATGGTTTTTACTAACCGTTATCAGTATTTAGCTACTTCGGCATCATTTTGAAACGTGTATTACAATGAAATCACGATAAAATAGGTTAATTTGGTCGTAGTTGGTTTCCAACACAGTATTTACATGGAGATACGTCCCGCCCCCTCTCCAGCGCGTGCCGTTTGAATGACAGGAGTAAACACAGCTGACAGCCGCTGTGAAACTCCAGCGGTTAGAGCAATGCGAGTATTCGTATCGCGTCCGTTGTGAACGCAGCATAATGCAGTTCAGAAACCACTGTTCTGACGCTTTTAAAGCAACTTTTAACAGTGCGAGGGGCCCAAAGGCCATGGTGGCCGTAGGACGTACAATTATTTGTGGGGCATAACGGCCAGACCGAGGGGCTACGACGGCCATGGCCGTCATGGCCGCCGTGAAAATCCCACCCTGGATGTCACATTGTTTTTTTGGGTTGTGCAACCATTAGCCAATAACCAACCAATGTAACACGCGCCCACCTTATCACCTGAATATCCTCCTAGAGCAGGGGTGGGGAACCTTTTTCCTCTCAAGGGCCATTTACATTTTTTCAACATCCTCCGAGGGCCGTACAAATGATTGACCTCTGCTTAAAAAACTAAAATCACAGCATATTAATTTCTTCTTTCTTTCATACTGTGCAAAGAAAAAGCAACCGCTTAATCGTAGTATGCATGCACGTGCACGTTGTGGCATGACCACCAAAACAGACAGATATGGACACAAGATGTGTGCAAATGTATTTAGTTTCCTGTCCATGTTTAAGTGGGGGGTGGACCTAACATCCTCTGGGGGCATGCTCCGCCGGAAGGTTTTATTTTAAATGTTGAAGTTAAAAGCATCAATCTGGTGCACTTTGAGAGCAACATGGAGAGATCTATGGATACATCTCTCAACATCCATAACAGAACTGGAAGCAGATTTCTTTTTCTTTATGGATATTTTACAAATCACTCCCCTTTCAAACTGTATTCTTTTTTATGAATAACAACTTTTTTTTACTGTCATATAGTATTTTATACCTGTTTACTTTATTCTCTTATTTTTGATAACTACAGTATAATGATCATATAAAGATGTGCCTTTACCTCACTGGTTGGAGAAAAAGCTTCTTATATTCGTTAGCATAGCTAGCTAACCAGATGCTAATAACAACAAAGTTATTGACGGTATGATCAGTATTACAGATGAACAGATCGCCACCGGGCTTTCAACTAAAGACACAGCCACGCACAAACTGCGGCATGTGTACGGCTCCTTATGGGTACTGCAGTTTCTGAAAGTGCCGGTGTCAGTACCAGATATGTTCGGGCTACCAGATATGTTCGGGTGTATTTCCGTCGCATCCGTCTTCCGTCATATCCGTCATATACTCACCTCCCTCTGCTCCCAGCGCTCTGCTGCCACACACCGGCCGTCTGCGGAACTGCAGCCGGAGGAACTCGGGACAGCTTGTTATGTGTGGGGTGCTATGGTGTGGTCCCATTTACTTGTGCACATAAATAATGTTTCTAATTATTTACAATTAAAAAATATATATATTCTGCGTTACTTTAGCCAACACTTTTATCAGGCCACTAGATTAGATAATTACGAAATGTGTAGATAGAATACATATATTTCAGGTTGTTATTTTGTCATTATGTTTAATGTTTTATTTACCTTTTAGTATTTGTATATAGTATCTGAACTTTGGAGAGGAGTTGGGAGACACACGACACATCAAATCACATCTACAGATCAAGGCGAAGCGAATGGAAGTACTCCCATACTCCTAGCGTGAAAATGTTTGTGAAAACGTGTGCAAAGTCTCCGAAAATCCTAAAAATAAGCCCATATTTGAATTCATCATAAAAAACACATCATTCAGTAAAAACAAGGCCCCACTGATCATCTACTCTCTGAGACGATTCCAGGGATGTCTGGCTTGAGTTTCGTACACCAGGGAAAGTGGACAAAAGTGTCCGAGATCAGCCTCTTAATTTACCCAGGGCTTAGTGCTTGGCTTTGGGCATGAAAATTCAGGAAACTCCCCTGAGTATTTTATTATATATCTGAACTTTGGAGAGGAGTTGGGGGACACACGACACATCAAATCACATCTACAGATCAAGACGAAGCTAGTGGTAGTACTCCTAGCGTGTGAAAATGTTTGTGAAAAACGTGTGCAAAGTCTCCGAAAACGGAGCAGTGGCTGTGAAGTTAGCTTTGCGGCTAGCGGTTAGTTGTTATTGTTTGAAGTTGTTGCTATGGAAACAACATGACGGAGACAAAATTAATATCTTCTACATATAATAACGGACAAAGTAAAGAATGAAGTGTCGGCTATGTTTAAATGTTCGGAATTTGACCGTGATGGCCCTCTTGAGTTGCCGTAAAATATGACGAATATGACGGATGACGGATGCGACGGAAATACACCCGAACATATCTGGTAGCCCGAACATATCTAGTACTGACACCGGAGCGGCGTTCTGGTGCTCTCCGTCAGAAAAAAGCACTACACCCCTGCCAGACGAGACATATACCACGTGATGACACGTTAGGCTCGTGTTGTGTTCAAGGACCCTGACCTTGGCCAGGAAAAACAGGCACTCGCTTGTTTAATTATTTTGCGTTCTAGATTTCTTATATTTTTTTCTTTTTTGCGTGTGTTTATAAATTACCTCGAGGGCCGTACCAAATGGTCTCGCGGGCCGTATACGGCCTGGAGACCGGAGGTTCCCCACCCCTGTCCTAGAGCAACATTTTGTTTTTTAAAAACCAATCACGTTGCAGAGGGGCGTGGCCAGCAGCAGCTCATTAGCATTTAAAGCTACAGACACAGAATCAGCTCTTTGGAAACAGGGCTGAAACAGAGGGCATGACAATGGCATGCTACAATGATCTGTTTGGTATTTCAACCAAATGTTTTGAAATGTTCTATCTAATCTTAATTTTTTGTAATATATTTTGTATGGAACAGACTTTCATTTCATTTAATTTCAAACCTGTATTTATCCAGGTGTATCCCATTGAGATCATTGATCTCTTTTTCAAGGGAGACCTGCTCAAGTAGGTTCCACATGAAACATAAAAACATAAACAGAACAACAAAAAGGACATCTCACAGCATCATTACAGGGATTACAATTTACAATAACTATCCACATGAGCAGGTACCAACAGCTTCCGATTGAGTAGCATCCAACCGACTAAATGCCGACATTTAGTGGCACCAGATTGCTCAGTTTCCATTTCAATTGCAGACTATTCCAAGACAGAGGAGCTGCGCATCTAAAAGCTGTCTTCCCTAAGACAGTCCTAGCAGTTGGCACATTTAATAAAACTACAGCATGCAATCTCAGGCAGTAGCCACTTACAATTCGCCGTGAGATCAGGGAGCAGATGTAGGATGGAAGTTTCCCTAACATGGCTTTGTATATAAAAATGTACCAGTGAGCCTCCGTACAAGGCAAACCAGCCCTTGCATACAGGGTACAGTGATGGGTTAATGCTTTACAGTTTGTCACAAATCTCAGTGTGCTGTGATACGCAGCATCTAACTTGACCAGGCAATTGGCAGGTGCATTCATATAAATCAAATCACCATAGTCCAGCACAGGGTAAAAGGTCACAGTGACTAGCCTTTTCCTGCCTCAAGTGAGAAACAGGACTTGTTTCTGAAAAAGAAACCTAGCCTAACCTTCAGTTTTTTAAGCAGGTTATTGACATGACGTTTAAAAGTGAGACAATCATCAAGCCAGATACCAAGGTATTTGTAACAGGTAACCACTTCAAGTTGTATTCCTTGCATAGTTACAATATCTACAACAGGCTCTGGTGTCTTTTTATCTTTGAAAAGAGCATTACCTTGGTTTTATCAACATTTAAAAGAAGCTTTAGTTCAGAGAGCTGAGTCTGAATAATGTTAAAAACTGCTTGCAATTCAACAACAGCCTCCTTAATGTAGGGACCTGCACAGTACATCACGGTATCATCCGCATAAAAATGTAAGGTTGCTCCATCGACATTTTCACCTAAACTATTGATGTAGATGGAGAATAAAAGTGGACCTAAAACAGAACCTTGGGGAACACCATTAGTAATGTTTAACCACTCAGAAGACAGCCCATCAAAATGAACACATTGGGACCTTTCAGAGAGGTAGTTCACAAACCACCCCACTGCATGGCTGGATATGCCAATACTGAGTAGCCTCTGCTTTAAGATGCGATGATCGACGGTATCAAACGCTTTGGAAAGGTCAATAAATAGAGCTGCACAACTCTGCTTATTATCTAAAATACTCGTAATGTCATTCACCACTTTCATTGTCGCAGTGATGGTGCTATGTTGCTTTCTGAAGCCTGACTGATGTTTAGACAGGATGTCATTTGTACATAAAAACACCTTTACCTGTTCACTCACTAGGCGTTCAAGAACCTTAGCCAGAACTGATAATTTAGAGATGGGCCTATAATTATTTAATAAAGTGGTCTCCCCACCTTTTAGTAGAGGCAGGATATAGGCTGACTTCCACAATTTTGGAATTGTGTTCGTGCTGAGAGAGAGGTTAAAAAGAGTAGTGAGAGGTGGAGCAATCAAATCTGCAGCTATCTTTAAAAAGAAAGGTTCTACGTTGTCCGGGGCCAGCCGGTTTCTTAGGATCTAACTTGGTTAAAGCTTCACGAACAACATCAACAGTAAAAGGAGTAAAACTAAAGGGTTTTCCAAAACACGTTTTTCAGAATCACAGACTGTGGTGTTCACAAAAGCAGAGTTAGTGACAGAATGAAACAGAGAGCCACAGGACACAAAATGCTCATTAAAACAATTTAACATAGTGGCTCTGTCCGATATAGAGCCAGATGCTGTGGTAAGGCACGGAGGTAGCTCATTACGGATATCACCGGTGGATATCGATTTTATGGCTTTCCAAAATTTTCCAGGATTATTCAGGTTCTTTGTGGTAACTGACAGATAATACTTAGACTTAGCACTTTTGATTCGCGATGTGAAGCTATTTCTTAGCTGCCTAAAGCGTAGCCATTCTACCTCTGAGCCTGATTTCCTAGCCTTTGCCCAGGCCTTGTTTCTCTCATGTAGGAGACTAGATAATTCAGCAGAAAACCAAGGATTGTCTCGTCCCTTTACTCTAAATGTACGCAGGGGTGCATGTCTATCAATGATCTCCATAAAACCAAGATAAAAATAAGACCATGCAGTTTCTACATCAGCACACAGATCGATTTTTCCCCAATCAAACCCAAACAGATCATGAACAAAACCCTGCTCCACAAAATGTTTTATGTCTCTCTTAATAATAATACGAGGTTTAACCTTCTGGACCTTAGTGTCCCTAATTGTGGCTACAGCACAGTGGTCACTCAGATCATTCGCAAATACTCCCACAGATGAGTATTTATAGGGAACATTAGTTAAGATGAGATCAATTAGGGAGGATTTATTAGGGAACTTAATGTTAGGGCGAGTAGGACTGTCAACAATCTGAGTAACATTTAAAGAGATACAAAGGTTTTTAAAATCCTCTGACACTGCAGTTAACCAGTCCCAGTTAAAATCTCCAAGTAGCACTATTTCCTTGTAGTCTAGCTGCGATATAAGATTTGCTAGCGAAGACAAGGAGTCCACCACCATGACCTGTTGCCCCTTTGCCACTTCTATATTTAAGGCTAAAAATTCGAATTGCTTACTGATAGATTTGGAAACTAATGTGGTTACACGGAACTTATTCTTAACATAAATGGCAACGCCACCACCTTTATTAGGCCGGTCGGTACGATACACATTATAACCATGTAAGGCAATGTCAGAGGCCAAAATAGATTTATTTAGCCATGTTTCTGATAAAACAATGACGTCAGTCGAGGTTGCCCAAATGCAGACAAAATCTAGTTTACCTAACAGACTGCGCACTGTAACTGTGTTACGGCTGCTGCTTCCTCTCTGCTCATGAACCTGTCTGGGATTGGTTGCAGCTGTGTGCGTGTGTGTGTGTTATGTATATGAGCTGTGCCGTTGCCCAGATGTCATTGGATGCCGGCTTCCTGTCCCTCCCCCGGTAGGCATGACCGAAGATCCGAAGGTCTGGATTGGAGCATGCCAGGCCCGACTCTCCAATCGCCGTGCACCCTTCCAGGTGACAGCTATTAAGACCGTATGCACCGTGTGAGTCGAGAGAGGTCTGAATCTGTGTCAGACGTCTCTCAATATCCTCTCTGAAACATTCTATGTTAGTGTTGTTAACGGTGGTTAACAAGTTGTCCTTAAGTGTGTTGAATTGTGTAAACTCGGTTTATACTGAGGAACAATATTAACTGTGGTTAATTTGTTCCCAGGCTGTGTTTTACAACTGTCTATTTTTTGTTAGTCCCATTTTTTTTCTCATTTCACCCTAGAGGTGAGGGTTCTTTTGTTTGTTTGGTTTGTGTAACATGTAATACAACTTATACTTATAACTACTGAGAAAATATCCAACCCTAACAAATTATATAGGAAGACATTAACAATAATATGTCAGTATCCAAATCTTTTGTCCATCCTCACCTCTAGGACGGGGGCTGCACGGTGCTCCTGTAGCCTAGAATCATGCACCTCAGCTGGGGAGGAGACGCTGGGCTGGAAGGATGGACTGTAGCCTGTGAGACACAACAGACATGTCAGAAACGTGTGTGTGTGTGTGTGTGTGCTCTTTGTACTGTTTTCATAAGGTTTTGACATGGTTCAAACATAAAAAAGAAACGCGTAGTCGTAGACACTTAGTCCCCGACATGTAATCTATTGATTCGTGTTCACCAACATGATTTCCCTCTTTTTTTCGTGTCACACAGAACGATTTTAAAAGCAATGTATTCTATTGGTAGTATGTTTCGTGCCTGCGGCATTGTAATACACGGTTCGGCTGCATTAAATATTACACATCTGTCGTAGTTCTTTATTTATAGAGCCCTGATGAGAAGACTTCTGGACAAACTTGAAGAACTGCCACCGAAACTGAATATGTGACGTGGGTCATAAATATATCAGCAATTAAACAACATCTTCAATTTCTCGGCAGTTCTTCAAGTTTGTCCAGAAGTCTTCTCATCAGGGCTCTATAAATAAAGAACTACGGCAGATGTGTAATATTTAATGCAGCCGAACCGTGTATTACAATGCCGTTATGTGATGACTTTCAAAGAGAAAAGCAAGTACACATGGAAGTATTATTTTCTTTGTTTTTAAATGTTTTTCGGATTTCATATCGCATTAACACCATATCCCAACGTGCATTGCGGCTAAAACATCCAATCACCGAGCTTCAACCATAGCTGAGGATCTTGGGTAATCAGTTCAGTGGGTGTGTATCGCCTACGTCTGTTTCCGGTGACTTTATTTTGAAATTCAGTTCCTGACGGACGGCAAAAAAGCCTGATATTATAGAATCAAACAAATAAATAAAAACAAGGATAATTGTGTGTTATTGTTGAGTAAATAACAGTGTGTTATTTAGAAAAGAATAACAAATTAGAAGTAAAACAATATTTTAAAAAATACTGATTTCAGTATTCTGAGCCCCATTTATTTTCCTCACGGACGGCAATTTTATTTCGACATTATACGATTTAAGATAAAAACAATAATCGTGGCTTGATATTGAGTAAGAAAATGTTTTTATGAACCACACAGCTTGAGGTCTTCCAAGACCGGACAAAAAGACGTGGTGCAGGCACGAAACATACTACCAATAGAAATACATTGCTTTTAAAATCGTTCTGTGTGACACGAAAAAAAGGGGAAAATCATGTTGGTGAACACGAATCAATAGATTAAATGTCGTGACTATAACACGAAATGCCGTGAGACTGGGTTGTAATATAGCACTTAACAAAAGGCAAGCTGAGGCAGATGGGAATGTCATTCATTTTGCAGGTAATCAGTGGTGTAGTGGGGATTTTTTTACTGGGTGGACGCTATTTTAATTAGGTCATCTCAAACAATGAAAACAATCATGCTTCAAAAAAGTGGGGGCTCCAAATAAGTGGGGGAACGGCGATCCCCCTTGTCCAACGACCACTACACCACTGCAGGTAATTGACCATAAACAAATATGTTGGAAAGTTTGATCTGGTTATGAATGTTTATCAAAGTTTTTATAATTCATCCTGAGGGGAACATTATTGATTGTACCCACATTTCATGCCAAGACATCAAATGTTTTTTTGAGATATTTTGGTCAGAACCAGAGTGTTGGAACGATAAACCAATATTCAACCATCGCTCGAGCCATGCTGGACGCAAATCAAACATAATTTACCTATAATCCAGCATCTTCACAGCTATTTGTCCTCCACTAGGAGTCTCTATTTACCCGGTAATAAATTAATGTTTAAACCCAATATCTTCAGACTGTTCCAGGCTCTTCCACTTACATAATATGTGTCCAGCAAAGAGCAGCAGAGTGATCAGTCTGTAACATGTTGGACTGAATCTGTGGTTTTGCCCTGAGAAAACATGTAATAACTTCAAGGAGACAGCAAACATCTTCATCTCAAATGATGCCTGTGAAGATGAAACCTCCCTATGGGTAAAAGCAGGTTTTTACTAAAGCTTGTGACCAAAGCTAATAAGGTTGTCTGAGGGTGTTAAGCATGCCCTTGAGCAAGGCATCAAACCAACACCCTGTAGATACTGCCCACTGCTCCAAATACGAGGATGGATTAAATGCAGGGACTACATTTCACTGTGTGTGGTGCTGTGAACATGTATCCAACCAATAGAAAAGGGTTTCATTAGAATAAATAGTTTTTGAAAATGGGACTGTTTTGGGATATTGCAGAGAATTCTTACATTTGCAGAAATGGTTGCAAACTAATGTTTAGGTCAGAAGTAAAAAGCTAGCATTAGGCTATAATAAAAAAAATGTACAAGACACTTTATATTTACAGGTTAAAATATTCTGTCATGGAATCGCCTATTTTAAGAGGTTGTGATAACGAAATAAACCTGTGTTGGATATTTATTGAAGTATTTTATATTTTTTAACACAGAGCAACATTTGTAACTTTTGTCCGGGTTTCAGGACTTTTAAACACTCATATATGTGAAGTGAACAGCCTATTTTGATTCGGTGCTGAAGAGAAGATAATTTCTACTAACCAATCAGAGCATCCAGATCTGGAGTTGTATGGTTGGCATCCAACACATGGAGGTCTTGATCATCTGTTCCTCCTCCCCTCTCCTCTTCTCTGGCTCCTCCCCCTCCTCTCTCTATGTCCTCTCCCTTGTATCTCTCCCACTCCTCCTCTTCCCCTCTCCTCTCTCGGTCCTCTCCTCCTTCCTCTCCTCTGTCTCTGTCCTCCATGTCTGTCCCGAAGAAGCCGGAGGCCTCCAGGGAGGCATCAGCAGCTCCTGGCCCGCCAATGAGCTCCTTGTCTGGGTCGCTGGAGTCTGGACTCCCCCTGTAGCCTTCTGCATCCTGAGGAACCACCAGATGGACCATACGCTGGAAATGGAACAATATTTGTTGGGCACATAATCTACAGTATAATTCGTTGTAATATTCTTGTTGTTCATTCATTTTTTGTATCGTTTTCGAGATATGTTCTCCATTTTCACAACCTAATTCTTCCTACTGTGATTATGTTTGCACCACACAAATTCCTTGTATGTGTACATTAACCTGGGAATAAACCTGATTATAATACCGATTCTGATATTTGATACAAAATAACTATTCTCAGAGATCATAGCAAAACTGATTCAGAACTAAAAAAGGTTTTAATAAACTGTCTGTACAATTCAAAAAAAATTGTTTTTACCTTCGCTAATAAATGACTAGATTTGTTCAGAAGCTAAACAAAAACAATGACACACAATTATTTAATGTTAATGTTTTTACATGATATCTGCTCCCTTCATAAACACATTTATTCCTGTTTTTGTATGTTTTTCTGTATGTTGCTTCCATCATTATGTCATTTGCACTAAATTATTGCACAATTTAACGTATTATTTTCTTTAATCAGAATCAGAATACCTTTATTTAGATTAGTCCCACAGAGGGAACATTTGCATCGTTACAGCAGGAAAGAGCCACAGACAGCTTAATGTTACATATGTTAAAAAAAAAAGTTAAAGTCTTAAGTATAATGTATTTTGCATTGTTTCAGGAGCCTGGCGCTTAAGATTTTCTTTTGCAACAACTAAGCTGTAATAGTTGTGCACAGTGGCGACGTCAGGGTATGGCTGGTGTAGGCTACAGCCATACCAAGAAATGGCTTAGCCCCACCTTAGCCCCACCATGAAAAATGATGTTAAAGTAAGCAAAATAAAGTCCGCCAACTCGCGCGGAGTAAATTGCACAGACAGCAGTTAGTAAGATTGATTTCAGTAGCCACTTGTCTGGAAATACCGAAGACCAGAAACGGTTTTGTCGTCTTCTCAATAGAACATCTTTGATAATGTCTTCTGGCCAATCAGAATCACGATAACGGTGTGGTGTTGTTGCAGGAAGTCCCGACGGAGAATACTTATGCGGTAGTACATCTCTATATACATCAATACTGTGGAGGAAACTTCTGTGTAGCAATGCAGTGGGAGTCACCGACTCATGAAGGAGACACGGGACGAGCAGGAGTTCTGATGTCAAACACTGAGATTTAATACAAGCATCGGCCGGAGAAATTCACATCACAAGTCACACAGTCAAAGGTTCTGACTGCACGGGTGGTTTGCCATGTCAAATCTGATCAGCCTCGCATCTTGGTAGACCTTTTAACTAGTTTACAGAGAGTCAAATTTACATATTGGGGATGGGCGTAAACATCTGCAGACACAGGAGATGTCTCTCACATCTGTGGAGCTTAGAAAGCCAGCGTTCTCACAGTCGTAAAACCCCTCCTGTGCCCGGCAGGTCAGGCCATAAAACCTAGTATCAACATATGACTGCATTAACACATTCCCTACGGGAGATTAGAAGCAGGGATGGTCGTAAATGTCAACACACAAAATAGGTTAAATGTCTAGGAGTAAAGACAAAATTAATCCCTAACAGATACAACATTACTTATTATTATAGAAATCAACACGTAATGAAATAAGACCCCACGGTTTGATGATTGATAGGTGTGTGGGCTGTCTTTCATTTTGGCACACAGACCAATGGGGGCTATCCACCCTTATCCACAATGTAAAGTAATTCACAGCCTCTTCCCTCTTCTCTCTGTGAGGAGCAGCAGGTTCAGCTTTCAGAACAAAGTAACAAAAAACTAAAATGGCATTAATTTTTTTAAATATGTCGTGTAGTAATACATTTATTTTTGTTCTCAAGAGAGTACCAGAATGTGTATTTTATGTTAGTATTTCAAAAAATCTCCTGGGGGAGAATCCCCCCAGACCCCCCTGCAGGGGTTGGGTTTTCAGCATGTCAACTCTTTCACCTGTGGGGAGATTGCAGGATTGGCTCCAGGTCGCCCTTTTTATTTACTACAATACAAATGTGCCTTTTTATTTCATACAGTTACATTTGGATTGAGACAGGGAAATAATCTAAACCTCACGCGTGGCGTTTCACTGTCAAGGGGGGCGATATAGCGTGCAAATACTGACTTGAGCCCTACCACTGTATGGGTTAGCCCTGTTAACATGTAATCTCTTTGCGTCTATACTACTGGCCATACGGTAGTCTAGGTTGCCCTCTTGAGGCTGTGAAACGCATGCGCAGTTAGTCTGTGTCGACCTGGAGCATGAGGTCCACTGTTCGTTAATGGCTCTGTATTGGTGTTATGCACGTTGATTGAATAAACCAAGTTAACAGAAGATAAACGTCGTGTTTATTTGTAGTAGACTAACATTGGTAGCAGAGGATGGTTAGCAGAAGATGGCTACTGCTAACTACAAAGTTCCACCGAAGTTCGACGAATCCCGACCATACGAGTGTTGGAAAAATGAAATCGCCATTTGGAAGCTGGTTACTGAACTTGATAAGAAGAAACAAGCCCTCGCCGTTGTCCTGGGGCTGGAAGGAAGGGCAAGGGATATCGCCATGGAAATACCCGCTTTGGATTTGAACAACAACAATGGTATGGACACACTGCTAGCAAAACTAGATGGCATGTTTCTCAAAGAAGAGAGAGACCGCGCATACGATGCTTACTCTTTTTTTGACTGTATCAAAAAGGAGAGCTCCGTGTCCATGGCGGACTATGTGATTGACTTTGAACAGCGATACAACCGAATGAAAAAGTACGACATGACTCTTCCTGACGCCGTGCTAGCTTTTAAACTTTTGGACACGGCTTGTCTAGACGAGAAAAATAGACAAATGGCGCTGACTGCGTGTTCAGATTTAACGTTTGCTGCAATGAAGTCCGCGCTGAAGAGGATCTTTGGGGGGAGAGTGCAAGGCGGCACATCAAACGGAATACACGTTAACGATGAAGCGTTATTCACAGAGCAACGCTCACAAGGAAGATTCAGACGTCCAACAACGCAGCAGTTTGGACAAGTTGGACAATAAAGGCAACGGTCACAGGGTACCAACCCACTGGATAGGTTCGGTAAGAGATCAAAATTTGCTATATGTCAGAGCACGTTCCATTGGGCTAAAGACTGTCCTCACAAGAGTAGCGAACAAGTACAGCTAACTGAAGATCGAACAAAGGTAGAGGAATGTGACATTACACTGTTTACTAAAGCCTCACTGTCTGAATCAGAGGTATTCCTAACTGAGTCTTTAGGGACGGCTATCATTGACACTGCATGTACCCGCACAGTGTGTGGAGAAAAATGGTTGGACAGCTTCGTCGCTGATCTCAGTCAAAGTCAAGTGAACCAGATTGTGAAAAGTGAAATTCCAAGCTCCAGACCATTCCGTTTTGGAGATGGAAATATAGTGCATTCCTCCAGCATACTGAAACTGCCTGCCAAAATAGGACAGACAAAATGTCGAGTGGAAACTGAAGTAGTCAAAGCTGATATCCCACTACTTCTGAGTAAGACTTCACTGAAAAGGGCAGGAACCATCTTGGACATGGAGAATGATAGAGCTGTGATGTTTAAACAGAATATCCCTCTTGAACTCACCAGTTCAGGACACTACTGTATAGATATCAGAGACAAGGACACAGGAATGAATTAAATTGAAATGAAAGATGAGGTCCTTACAGCAGTGGTTCCCAAACGGTGTGCCGCGGCACACTGGTGTGCCGTGAGGCAAGTCCGGGTGTGCCGTGGGATTTTGTGACAACCATACATTATTATTGCAATATACAACTACACAAAAATAATTATGTTTTAATTTACTATATCAGTAGGCTACTTTGTAGGTTTATATGTACGTAATCTGCGCGACTTGTGCGTCCACATCTCCACGTGCAGTGCTGCATAAACATGGCTGAGTCAGCGATAACTTTCCAGGGGTGGAGGTATGTCCATTACTTTGAGTTCGTCCGAAGAATAGACAGGAATGTGACGGTGAGGTGCAAACTGTGTCCAGGCCAGAAGCTATTATCCACTGCTGGAAACACCACGTCAAACCTCAACAAACACCTGCAAAGAACACATGCTAAGGTGAAGCTACCGCACACGCTATTTGTTGTTTGTTTACATCACGCAGTCTGTTCTTCTTCTCTGTCTTCCGGTTGTTGCCTGTTTTGAATGACAAATACACACTATCGCCGCCTGCTGGTAAGGAAAGTTATTGCCACTCACGCGCAGTTCGTACGTGCTCGGCGCGTAAAGTAATGAGTAAAGTAACGAGTTACTTTATGTAGTGTTGAGAGTTTCATAGTATGTTGAATACTTAAAACTAGTGCTGTCAAAATTACCGCGTTAACGGCGGTAATTCATTTTTTGAATTAATTGCGTTAAAATATTTAACGCATTTAACGCATGTGCAGAATGGCCCGCCCCATACGTGCCACCAGTGGCAGCGCCAGGGTATGGCTGGGGTAGGCTACACCCATACCAAGAAATGGCTTAGCCCCACCATGAAAAATGATGTTAAAGGAAGCAAAATAAAGTCTGCCAACTCGCGCGGAGTAAATTGCACAGACAGCAGTTAGTAAGATTGATTTCAGTAGCCACGGTTTTGAAAACTTTTGTCACATAGTGATCGTCTTCTCAATAGAACATCTTTGATAATGGCGTGGTGTTGTTGCAGGAAGTCCCGACGGAGAATACTTTTGCTGTAGTACAGGGGTGCACATAACTGGTACGCAGGTTATGTGTGTAATCTGAAATGCGTACCGTCACTTGTGTCACAAAGCGCATTTGCGTACCGACGTACTTGTGAAGCTTTTCCAGAAGGCGGTTAGATCACCGGACGACAGAGTCGGTCTCCGTGTGCACAGACAGGGCTGCTGTTAACGTCGGTCTGTACAACGGAATTGTGCCAAAACTACGCCAACCGGCTACGGAGGGAGACTCCCCCCCCTTCACTGGAGAACTGCGCTAAAACAGCTGATCACAACGTTCACACTCTGTGGTCACAAAGTACTCCAC